ACCTGGGAAGTCCCTGCATTCTTGCTTTTAAGAAAAAACGCGAGTCATGATAGGAATTCTTATCTAACCATAGATTAGCAGGTCCCTGTTGGCTGGGTTGCTGTGTGTTCACTGGCACAGGAGTCCACGAGTCAAGGTTTATCGAGCACATACTACATGCCGGGCGCTTTTTATAATCTTATTCTAACAGCCCTGGGAGACTGTGTCATCACACAGGTTTAAAACATGGCCACCCAAAGCTCAGAGAAGCTACAAAACTTGCCCAAGATCTCACCACCTGACCCAGTCCAGCACTCACACCAGAAGCCCTACCCGTCCCAAGCCCCTCATAGCATGTCTCTGGGTGGCAGGGCAGATGCCCATGTGTGCTGCATCAGCAAGGCTTCTGACTTGCCTGAGTTTCCTTGGTTCCTTCTAAGCCCTCCCAGCTCCAGTAAGGAATGAGCAACGGACATGTAAGGAGACACGGCAGGTTGCCTCCTGGCCTCTTGGCTTGGCCCCTTCTTCAGGACCATCTGAGCTGGCACAAGCCCCCCAGGTCACAGGCTGTGGTGTGCAGCCCAGCGCCGAGCCCTTGGCAGGTGGAAACGCCTCTAGGAGTACACTCCCAGGGCAGGGTCACTGGATACTCTTGTCTTCCAAGAATATAAACAAGCTCTCTCTTTTTTTTTTTCCCAGCCATCAATAAGAACTTGTGCAATCTGTGCTCGCTTCAGCAGCACATATACTAAAATTGGAATGATACGGAGAAGATTAGCATGGCTTCTGCGCAAGGATGACATGTCCATTCGTGAAGCATACCATATTTTTGGACTCTATGGGAGAAGGCAAGGGTGGGATGATCTGAGAGAACAGCACTGAAACATGGATACTATCAAGTGTGAAACAGATCACCAGCCCAGGTTGGATGCATGAGACAAGTGCTCAGGCCTGTGCACTGGGATGACCCAGAGGGATGGGATGGGGAGGGAGGTGGGAAGGGGGATTGGGATGGGGAACGCATGTAAATCCATGGCTGATTCATGTCAATGTATGGCAAAAACCACTACAATATTGTAAAGTAATTAGCCTCCAATGAATAAAAATAATTGGGGGGGGGAGAATATGTTTTAGAGACAAATAGCAATTAACAGTACAGTGTAAGGATGATGTTAAACAAAATGTGTTTGCACAGGTTGGTTCAGTTCAGTTCAGTTCAGTCACTCAGTCGTGTCCGACTCTTTGCGGCCCCATGAATTGCAGCACGCCAGGCCTCCCTATCCATCACCAACTCCCGGAGTTTACTCAAACTCATGCCCATCGAGTCGGTGATGCCATCCAGCCATCTCATCCTCTGTTGTCCCCTCCTCCTCCTGCCTGCAATCCCTCCAAGCATCAGGGTCTTTTCCAGTGAGTCAACTCTTCGCATGAGGTGGCCAAAGTACTGGAGTTTCAGCTTCAGCATCGGTCCTTCCAATGAACACCCAGGACTGATCTCCTTTAGGATGGACTGGTTGGATCTCCTTGCAGTCCAAGGGACTCTCAAGAGTCTTCTCCAACACCACAGGTTGTATAGGATTTCATAAAAGGATGGCTGACTTAGATATGAGGGAATAGGGAAGATTTTATAAAAAATAAAAAAATACCCCCCCCCACAAAAAAACAAAAAGAACTTGTGCAATCTGACATTAGTTTCCAGAAATTAACTGGAAGATGTTTATGGGGTTTACTGGATTTGACGAAAATGACAAGATGTGGAAACACAAGTGAAGTCGCTCAGTCGTATCCGACTGTTTGCAACCCCATGGACTGTAGCCTACCAGGCTCCTCCTTCCATGGATTTTCAAGGCAAGAATACTGGAGTGGGTTGCCATTTCCTTCTCCAGGGGATCTTCCCAACCCAGGGACTGAACCCAGGTCTCCTGCATTGTAGGCAGACGCTTTTACCCTCTGAGCCACCAGAGAAGTCCATGGAAACACAAACATCTAGTAAATTTGGAAAGACTCCTCAGGAGGAGAAATGGGCTAGGGAGGGACGTTTCTATGTTTTGTGGGTTTTTTTTTTTTATGCTATGTGGCATAGCATATGGGACCTTAGTTCCCCCAGCAGGGATTGCACCTAAACCCTGCAGTGGAAGCGTGGAGTCTTAACCACTGGACCACCAAGGAAGCCCCTGTGGAGAGATGTCTCTAAACTCATGGCTGCTTTCCATAAAATGCAGCTACAGAAATGATTGCAGAATATTATCAACAAATTGGTTACTGACAGCACCTTAGGTAGACCTGCAGAGACGGCCCAGCAAACTCTTTTTTTGCCCAAGATTGTGACTATAGGCGGTGTCCTGGATGGGTGGGATCTGAATTTCTTTCCCAGTTCTGGTTCCATTGGAAACGTCATGAATCCCAGACAGAGCTGTGGCCCTTCTCCACATCAGTTCAGTTCAGTTCAGTTGCTCAGTCGTGTCTGACTCTGCGACCCCAGGAGCTGTAGCACGCCAGGTCTCCCTGTCCATCACCAACTCCTGCAGCCTACCCAAACTCATGTCCTTTGAGTCAGTGATGCCACCCAGCCATCTCATCCTCTGTCGTCCCCTTCTGCCCTTAATCTTTCCCAGCATCAAGGTCTTTTCAAATGAGTCAGCTCTTCGCATCAGGTGGCCAAAGTATTGGAGTTTCAGCTTCAGCATCAGTCCTTCCAATGAACAGGACTGGTTGGGTCTCCTTGCAGTCCAAGGGACTCTCAAGAGTCTTCTCCAACACCACAGTTCAAAAGCATCTTCTTTGGTGCTCAGCTTTTTTTATAGTCCAACTCTCACATCCATACATGACTTTTGGAAAAACCATAGCTTTGACTGGACGGACCTTTGTTGGCAAAGTAACGTCTCTGCTTTTTAATATGCTGTCTAGGTTGGTCATAACTTTCATTCCAAGGAGTAAGCATCTTAATTTCATGGCTGCAGTTACCATCTACAGTGATTTTGGAGCCCCCAAAAATAAACTCTGTCACGTTTCCACTGTTTCTCCCTCTATTTGCCATGAAGTGATGGGACCAGATGCCATGATCTTAGTTTTCTGAATGTTGAGCTTTAAGCCAACAGATTCTCTATAACCTTCTGGCAGGGAGGTCAGCTCTACACCTCAGCAGAAGTGCTGCTCTGCCAGGGCAGGGTGGGTCAGGAGCACTGCCTGTGGCATGGCAGAGCTGGCATGACACATTGGGCTGAGGCCAGGAGACTTTAGTGGTTGTCCCTGTGTCCCCAGCAACTCCTTGGTCTCGGAGTTATGGTGATGTTTCCATGACCTAGGACAGGGCCTGGCATTGAGGAGGTGTCCATAGATAGTAGGAGCAGATGATGGCAGGTGGCCTGGCAGCCACTCTGCACACTCAGATACTGGTCCAGACCTGGCACTGCAGGAAGACTATTCCAGTCAAAGATGGCAAAAGACTAATACTCTGTGATAACCAATATGGGAAAAGAATTTGGACAGTAATGGATACATGTATGTGTGTAACTACATCACTTAGCAGGGTGCTCAAGGACACAGGCTGCGGAGCAGCAAGAACAACCTCCAGGGCACATACAATGGGAGATCACTCAGCTATAAAAAGGAAAGAAATCGGGTCATTTGTAGTGATGTGAATGGACCTAGCATCTGTCATACAGGGTGAAGAAAGAAAGAAAAATATTGTATATTAACACATACACGTGGAATCTAGAAAAAACAGTGCAAATGAACATATCTGCAAGGCAGGAGTAGAGATGCAGATGTAAGGGACTGATGTGGACAGGTGGGGATGGGGAAGGTAGGACGAACTGTGATTGGGATTGACATGCTACCATGTGTAGAATAGCTAGCTAGTGGTAAACTGCTGGATAGCACAGGAAGGGACTTCCCTAGTGATCCACTGGCTCACACTCTGCTCCCATTCAGGGGGCTAGGGTTCGATTCCTGGTCAGGGAACTAGATCCCACATGCTGCAACTGACGATTTCCTGCACACCAGAACGAAGATCAAAGTCACTACAATTAAGGCCCAGGACAGCCAAAAAAATAAATACGTAAAAAAAGAAAAAAAAAAAAAAAAGCTGCCTACAGCATAGGGAGCTCAGCCTGGCGCTCTGTGGCCGCTTAGAGGGGCGGGACGGGGCGTGTGGGAGGGGGCTCAAGAGGGGAGGTATGCGTGCACACGGCTGTTTCAGTTCGCTGTGCAAGAGAAGCAAGAACAGTATAAAGTAATTATACATTTGATTTTTTGTTGTTGTTTAAAGAATGACTGGTCCAATAGAGACCAGACTGGGTTGTCAAGGGGTAGGGGGAAAGGGGAGGGATGAAATGGGAGGTTGGTGTTAGCAGATGGAATTGGAGTTAGCTTTTTAATATAGATTATCCACAGTGTCCGACTGTATAGAACAGAGAACTATATTTCCTATCATACTATATTTAATATGACAAGTCATAACGGAAAAGAATATTAAGAATGTATATATGTATAGCTGTCACTCTGTTGTACAACATTGTTAATCAACTATCAGTTCAGTTCAGTCGCTCAGTCATGTCCGACTCTTTGCGACCCCATGGACTGCAGCACGCCAGGCTTCTCTGTCCATCACCAACTCCCGGAGTTTACTCAAACTCCTGTCCATCCAGTCGGTGATGCCATCCATCCATCTCATCCTCTGTCGTCCCCTTCTCCCGCCTTCAATTTCCCAGCATTTGTGTCTTTTCCAATGAGTCAGTTCTTCGCATCAGGTGGCCAAAGTTTCGAAGTTTCAGCTTCAACATCAGTCTTTCCAATGAACATTCAGGACTGATTTCCTTAACGTGAGTAAAAATTGAGGGTAAAAAAAAAAAAAAAAGATTCCCAGCATGCCCGGGGCCAGCGGCGTCTGGGCGCCGGTGGTTGCTTAGCGACCGGGCGTATCCCGGAAGGCCGGCGGCTTGGGGGCGGGACTTCCGGGGCGGTGGTTGCATCAGATTCTGGGAAGCCGTGGCGGCCTCGGCGACTGCGGGATTCGGGTGATGGCAGGGTCCTCCACGGAGCACGGTGAGCGCGCGCGAGTGGCGGGCGGGGCAGCCTCGGGCCGCGGGGCCCTGGGGGCCACCCGGGAGCCGGGGGCGCCGGGTCTCTGAGGGGCGGGCCCCAGGGAGCGCAGAAGGCGGGCCCGGACCCCCGGGTTTTCCCCGGTGGGCGCGCTCCTCCAGCCCCGGCCCGGGCCCTACCGGGGCCGCCCCTCCCCAGGCCCTCCCCGACCTCGAGGCCGCAGGGTTCCCCCTGCGCCCCGATCCCGGGGGCTGGTTCTGCGTTCCCCTGCGGGCCCCTGGGCCGGACCTTGCCCCCTCCTGCCCCCTGGGATTTGGGGGGACAGGCACAGCTCCAGGGTCGTTTGGGGGCCGCCCGGCCTCGGGTTGACACTTAGGAACGTGGGGCCGAGGGAGCCGGACGCGGACGCACGGGAAAGGGTTGGGGTTTTACGAAGGCGCTCATCTGCGGCTGCAAGCAGTGGCCACGGGGACCTGCCCGATCGCGGCGTTACTGCCCCCTCTTTATCGCCGCCCCCGGGGTTCCGTGAGCGTCTCAGGCTCTGTCCCCACGGGTCACTCGTGTCACAAGCCGGCAGACAAGCCGCCTCCGGGGCGTGCTGGTTCCCTGGTCACCCTCCCTCCTCCAAGATCACGGGATGCCAGACAGAGCGCAGGTAGTCCCCGGATTCCCGAGTCCGGGTCCAGCTTTCCTCGGGAAGAACTCTCGGGGTGTCGTTTTTATTCTGGCTGCCCTGCCTAGACTGTACACACTTCCCCGGCCTCTGGGGTCCCCCTTGCTCCTGGGGTTCCCAGCAGGGAGCTCCAAGCAGCTGGGCCCGGTGATGTGGGAGGCCCCTGATGACAGGGTTGCTGGGGTACCCATCATCCAGGCACCCCACATTCCACCGGACAGGTGTGCCTGGGTTCCAGCATTGGCTCCACCCACCCAGATCCTCGGCCCTCGGAAGTCCACCCAGACTCCTGAAAAATAGCAGCTTGGTTGATAGCCCAGTCTCTGGGCCCGGCAGGGCTGGGGTTTCACCTCTGCCCCTTCCCCACGTGGGGCGGGTTTAAAAAGTCCCCACTAGGAGGATGCAGTGAGCCTTATAGGGGTTGGTAGAGGCTAAGACTTAGAAGAACACTTGGCTGAAAGGGGTGCTGTGTTCGGGTTGAAAGCCCAAGCTTGTTTCTTTTCTTCCTTCCTTTTTCATTTGGGATCAGAAATGACATATTCAGTTTTTTAGTTTGTTTTTTTTTTTAACTGCTTCAGAACTGGAGATTTTCAGAGCCTTAGTAAGAATTGGCCTGTTTTTGGAGATTGGTGCATAGATTGGGAATAAGGTGTCTGGGCAGCTGACGGATTGTCCTGGTCCTAAAATTAAGGGCCACAGCTCCTAGCCCACACTCTGCCCTCTCTTCTATTAGAGCTGACGCCCTTCCCCCCATACACGCCTTGTCTAGGCTTTTCTCAAAGACAAGAACCTAGGACCATCCCCTGAGGAAACAGGAAAGGAAATGGTAAGGGCTTCATACAGCTGCCAGAGTTGATGTTCTAGGTTTCCGGGTTCTGAATGCTTTTTTTTCCCTCAAAGTTAGAATCATCGATAGTGACCATCTTCCCAGAATTTTTAAGGAGTCCCTCACTTAGAATAATCTTCCCATTTTGTATTGTCTTTCTTAAGTTGGTGGTCCCTTGCCATGCCTCTGGGGTTAAAGCTTCTCCTTTGTAGCTTGAACACGAGGCCCATTCCTGGGTGTTTTAGAAAGTTGAGTCTCATCCCTCATGACCCCCAGGGTGGACGGAGCACATCTCAGAGGCCTTGCCCTGCAGATCAGGCCTCTTCGGTGGCCGTGAGTTAGGTCAGACTTGCATTTTTTATACAGTAGGCTTTAATTTTTTGTACAGTAGAATTCAAAGTTGTTCATACTAACAGTTGTTGTTCAGTCACTCAGTCGTGTCCAACTCTGCGACCCCATGGACTGCAGGACACCGGGCTTCTGTCCTCCACGGTCTCCTGGAGTCTGCTCAAATTGCGACCCCATGGACTGCAGGACACTGGGCTTCTGTCCTCCACGGTCTCCTGGAGTCTGCTCAAATTGCGACCCCATGGACTGCAGGACACCGGGCTTCTGTCCTCCACGGTCTCCTGGAGTCTGCTCACATTGCGACCCCATGGACTGCAGGACACTGGGCTTCTGTCCTCCACGGTCTCCTGGAGTCTGCTCAAATTCATGTCCATTGAGTCAGTGATGCTCTGTAACCACCTCATTACAACAGAGGAGCATTTAGCATTTTTCTCAGCATGAGTCCGTGCTAAACACATCTGTGGGGGCCTGTCATCCTCAGGGCACGCCTTTGTGGCTAATCCTGCCCTTGGCGTGCAGACAGGAATCCTGAGGTTCAGAGCCGGCGAGTGATTTGTCTGAGGTCACACAGCTTGCCAGGGTCTGTCTGACAGCAGCAACCTTGGGCACTCTGCCTCGGTGACTCTGAGTTCAGATTAACACCAAACGCCCCAGTTCCAGAGTGGGTCACGGCAGAGAAGGGAGCAAGCTATATTTTCTGTGTTTCCCAGAGAAAAATGAAATGCACGTGCGTGTAGACTACAGATACTTGCTCATCCAGGCACTCATGTCTCCCGGTATTTCCAGTCTAAGAGTCAGGGGAGATAGTGTCCTTGGGTGGCAATGAAAGCGCCCCGTGTCCACGCTCCCACCCCGGCCCATCCCGGGTGGCGGTGCCCTGCAGTCACATGTGTCCGGGCATCAGATGGTGATGCTCCCCGGGACCAACGAGTGCCCCGTGAAAGCTCACACCTGCTGTTGTGGGGGGACCCTGTCCGAGAGTTCACCGCAGTGTGCTCACATGGACCTGTCACTTCATTCATTCAGGAGATACTCTTCACAGCAAGGCACTTCTGTAGGTCTGTCACTTCATTCATTCGTGGGTGTGCTTCAGGCACCGGTCTGCTGGCTGCTGCTGGGCATGGGGGTGTGGCTGGGGGCAAGGCCGGGTGTCGGGCCTTCCTGGGCTTAATGACCAGCAGGAAGGGGTGGCCAGAGCGCAGAAGCCCAGTGCTGGCCCAGCACAGACCATTCGTTTCTTGGTCACTTCCCCGTGTGCGTGCTGCTGGCTGGCCCAAGTCCGCGGAGATGGGTCAGGGCCAGGGCCTTTTCCTCTGAGGCTGCAGAATCTACCAGAACCTTGGCAAGCCTTTCCTTGCTCCCACCCATAGCAGGGTGGAGCATGGGCAGTCACTATGGAGACTCTGCCGGGCCAGGTCTAGACACGGTGGTGGGCATCCGTCTTCTGGCCAAGCCAAGCCTTGCAGCCCAGAGACAAGCGCCTGGGTCTGGGGAGCGCCCTGCGCTCTATCCCTGAGGGAGGGCCTGGCTGCAGGGAAGGTAGGAAGCACCCACCTCCCCTGCTGAGAGGGACTGGGAGCTGAGCAACGGGAGAAAGGGGCCGGGGGGCCTGGCAGAGGGCACGGCAGAGAGCGCTCTCACCTGGCGCTGAGACCTGAGGACCACCGCGTTGCTTTCCAGCAAGTTCATGAGGCCAGAGGGTGGGGGAGGGCGGGAGATGGCTGCAGGCCACGGTCTGCAAGGGCCTGGAGCCATGTGCGGAATGTGGGTCTCGCCTTTGAGCCTTGGCAAGGCGTCTGCCCCCTCCCCCTTCTCCCCCTTGTGGACTGAAGCAGGGAGACCAGGAAGTGCCTGAGACGCTGGTGACCCGTGGCCTGGGCTGTGGCAGCAGCGGGCATGAGAAGTGGACGGGGTGGGGTGGACCGGGGCGGGCGCCGGGTTTGCCGTGGGGAAGGTGGTCATGCCGTTCCCTGAAGTCCAGGTTGGAGGTGAGACATGATGCCCGGGGCCACCGTGTGGACAAGTGACATCTGGACGTCCGGGGCTGTGCTCGGGGCGGGGGGGCCCTGACGCCCGGAGTGGGTGCCGTTGCTGCCGGTGCAGAGCAGGGGTGCCTGCATCTCTCTGGTCCCCCAGATTCGTGTGGGGGGGAATGCTTTCGTTCCAGAAGGCTTCTCAGACTGGGAACCCCCCAGGAAAGAGGAATGGGCCTGAAGGGGGGCCCCCGGTGACAGGCAGCAGCAGACGCAGGTGGGGAGCTGAAGGGGCCTTTGCAGGAAGGGCCTGACCCTCAGGGCCGGGTGCTCCCAGGGCCTCACGGCCGGCGAGGGAGGGGTGCAGACCCCCACTGCGCCCAGGCTGGTCTTCAGAACAGAAATAGGCCTGGTCTGGGAGCTTAGGAGGAAGGCAGACCTGCGGGGAGGGGTCTGAGCTTCAGCAAGCTGCCTGCAGGTTCTTGGCCGCTGAGGTCGGCAGGGGAGCCGGCCTTACCCCCAGGTTCTGATTCTGAAGGTCTTGCGGGGGCCTGGATCGGGTGCTTCTTGTAGCTGGCAGTGCTGCCTTGGCACTGAGGCTTCCCCGAGCAAGAGCCTGGCTGGAGCGGAGCAGGAGGTGGGGGACTATTGACAGTTGCGAGCAGCCATACACGCCTCGGGAAGGTGTAAAGCCCGCGGGGAAGGAAGGAGCAGCGGGTCACGGCCTATGTGACTTGGGTTCCTCACCTGGCTCTCAAATCAATGTGAGTTCAGTTAAGCGTTTTCTAAACTGTGATGACCATGGTCCACGTTCAGGGCCTTCCCCACAGTCAAAAGCCGTGTATCTGGATGGCCCCGAAGTGGAGTGGCGGCGGACACGGGGCTGGGAGTCACTGTGTGTGTGTGTGCATGCACGCGGGGCTCCCTGGCTGGGAGTCGCGGTGTGTGTGTGTCTGTGTCTGTGTGTGTGTGTGTGTGTCTGTGTCTGTGTGTGTGTGTGTGTGTGTGTGTGTGTCCGTCCGTCCTGGGGAGGGTCCTGGGGGAGGGGGGTCAGGGAGGTGATGGGCGCCCTGCTCCTGAGTCCACTCATCGCCTTTGGTAACATGGGCTCACCGCCAGACCACAGTCTGGCCCAAACCCACAGCCACTTGAAAGCTGACCTATTTTTAAATTTGTTTCCTCAAGTTAGGCTTGAATGCAGCTACCACAGTGACCCGATGACTGGCCCTCTGGCCCGCGGGCTCTCTGCTTCAGATGGGACTCTTAGTAATAAATGCGTGTGTGATCCCCGGGTAAACTTCTCCAGGGCCACTACAGCAGTAATAACACAGGAGTGAGTAAAATAATAATAATGGTAATAATAGCAGCTGATGGGCGCTGGCTGTGCGCCCGGCAGTACTTCAAACAGTTTACGAGTGTGCTCACTAACACCGCAGCTTTACGAGGCGTGCATGCGTGTGTGTGTGTGTGCACACCTGTTTACCTGGGAGGGGGTCTGCCCAGCCAGGGAGGGGTGCAAACCCGCTGAACCCTTGCCCGCTGACCTGCTTCGTTAGTGCTTTAAAGCCGTCCAGTTGGTGAAACGTTTGACGTGTTTTTATTATGAAAAGGACATGTGCTTATTGCAGAAAATGTGGGCAGTGAGAGAAAAGAGGGAACTAAAGTGCCCTGGGAGCGGCAGCCACTGTCCAGGTCAGTGGATCCTAGGGGGTGCCTCGTCCCTGGCATTCACCCAGAGTGGGGGCAGTCTGTCTGTCCAGTGCGGTTCCGGGGGCACGAGGTGGGGGGCGCGGGGGGCAAGGCTTCCCTGGACGGGGCTGGCCCTTCTGCACTCCAGTCGTGGCCCAGGCAGCTGCAGCAGAGACAGGGAGGGTGGGCTTGGGGGGGCCACGCGGGGCAGGCAGGTGCTCAAGGGCGATGTAGCCCCCCCCCCACCCCGGGACGCGCTGGCCCTCCCCTCAGCTCCGTCCACCCACTGGCAGGCCCTTGATGTAGCTTTCTGAACTGAGTTCATCCAGCGCGCGAGAGGAGCACGCAGTCAGTGTAGGAAAGTGGGCAGGGCAGTCTGTATGTCGGAAATTAGCGCTCTGGGGAGATGAAACAGCAGGAGGGGTCAGGCCCCAGGGGGTGGGCTCTCCTGGAGCAGTGACCAGGAGGGCCGGTGGGAAGGGTGATACCCACGTAGCCCGGGGAAGCAGGGAGGCTGACCGTGTCCAGGGGGGGCCTCAGGCAGGCAGGGGCCCCGAGGGGTGTGGGGGCCCCCCAGCTGGTGTGAGGACCAGGCTCAGTGAGACGGGGGCCTGGAGGAGGAGCGGGGCTGCTCTGGCCTTGGGGCCCCGGGGAGCCCGGACCCTGGGGCGGTGGGGGGCGGCTGGGGGGTGGGGCTGCCTCCCAGGGTCCGGGGCAGAGCAGGGCTGAACCCTGGTGGCGACTGTGCTGAGAGGCCGGTGCTCCGGGCGCGTCAAGATGGGGGCCTGGACCATCCAGTGGCGTGGCCCCGGGTGCCCTGAGGGCACCTGGTCAAGGATGGAGGGGCGCTGAGCTGCGTGCCTCGGGGCCGCCCTGTGCAGTGGGCGGGAAGCGGCCGGTCTCCCTGGCACACCTGGGCCTGGAGCCGGGGAAGATGTGCCCCGGGGCCCACGCCTTCCCTGTGGATGAAGAGGTCGGGGTTCGGGCGGTCCCCTCACTGGGCCCCCCGAGGGCTTTGGTCCCGCCTTCCTGCCTCTGTCTCGCCCCTGTGCCTGGGAAGTCCACTCCGCACAGGCCCTGGAGGAGGGTCTCCGCGTGGAGACCTGTAGGAGGGCAGCTCTTCCCCAGGGGCGCACTGCCCTCTGCTCGCAGGCGTCCTGTGGGCCTGGTCGGGGCGCTGGTTCTCCTTCTGTGCCGGGCCGGGCCCCTGTTGGCCTGCAGCTCCTCCCTGCGCTGGGCCCATCACGGTGACCCAGGCCTCGTGCCAGGCGGCTGCATCTGCTGGGCTCTGGGTCAGGGTGTGTGCCCCGTGCCTGGGGATGAGGGCCGGGCTCCTGCTGGCCCACTCGGAGCCGCCTCCTGGGCTCGGCATGCCTGTGGGAGGAAGCAAGACCAGCCCCCCTCCCCTCGGCCACAGGGTCTGGCGCCACCTGCCTGCCTCCGCCTGCCCGCCCCCCGCAGGAGGTGAGGGCACCCGGACAGTAGTTGGAGCCGTGACACAGGGTCAGTGCACTGACCAGGGAGGAGGTGGCGAGCGGGCTCGGTGGGGTCCGGCTGGGATCTCAGGGTGATCAGGGCCCAGGGCGTCTGCTGGCAAAGGCTGCTGGCTGGTCCTCGCTCAGGCTGGGGTTCTGTCCCCCCATCCCCGTTCTCGTGGCTCCAGGGCGAAGCAGCGGCCTCGGGCCCCTGCCAGGGGCAGGCCTGTGCCAGCCGCCGGCCGGACGGCTACTCTCCAGGCAGGTGGAGCTGCCGCAGCCTGCGGGCCTCCTCGGAGCTTGGGCTTGGCCGCTAGAAGCCTGGCCAGTACCAGGTTTTGGGAGCTCTGCGGTTCTCAGAGCTGCCCATCGCCACCGGGGTGAGGCGACCCGTCAGTACCGGCCCTCCGGCACCCAGAGCCTAGCAGGGTGTGTGTGTGATTGAGGTGAAACTGTGTGTGTGTAATTGAGTATGTGTCTGTGCGCATGTGTAACTGAGGTGAACATCACCAGCCGTGAGGTTAGCCACCTCAGCATGCAGCTCGTGTGTCTGTACCGTTCACAGCCTCCTGCAGCCGCTTTTGGTTCTGAAACATCCTCGTCCCACCTGGAGCCCACAGGCAGTCGCTCTGCACCTGTCCCCCTGCCCCGGGCACCCGCCCGTCCTGGGTGTCTCCTCCGCAGAAGGGGGAGCCCCGGCCCCGATCCTGGGCTTGTCCAGGCACCCGGGCCCACTGACGCCCGTCCTCTGTCTTTGCAGCTCCCGACTACAGGGCCATCCTGGGCATTAGTGACGAGGTGGCCCGGGTGCGGGCGCTGGACGCGCACCTCAGCACGCGTAGCTACGTGCGGGGCTTCGCCCTGTCCCAGGCAGACGTGGACGCCTTCAGGCAGCTCTCAGGCCCTCCGGCTGACCCGCAGCTCTTCCACGTGGCCCGCTGGTTCCGGCACATGGCCGCGATCCTGGGCGGCCCCCCCGCCACAGGCCCGCCCTGCGGGCTTCAAGCAAGTGAGTAGCAGAGCGGCTTTTGGCCACGAGACCCTCCCAGCTGGCCACAGGGGAGCAGCTGGCCTGGGGGACCTGCCAGCACCCCGAGGGGAGGTTAGGACAGAACCCGAGGGCTCGACCCCCATGGGTCTCAACCCCCATGGGTCCCGACCCCGCACTGCTGTGGTGGAGCCACTGGCCGGGTGGGGGCCCGCCTTGGCCGTCAGCTCCCTGACTCCGCTGGGACTTGACTTGCTTCTCCTTAAGTCTTCCCCTGAGGTCACGGGTATGTGTGTGTCCACCATCGGCTCCTGAAGCAGTGTTAGTGTGTGAGCCGTGGGCACCCAAAGCAAAGGCGTTTCTGGGCTTCGAGAGGAGGGGGGATCAGAGCTCTTGTTCCCCCCCACCCTGCTTACGGTGTGCAAGGGGGGTCTGGCTTCTGGGTGGTCTCTCCCCTCCCATGAATCTGCAGATGAATCCACAGTGGCCGTTGCCTGCAAGCAGCTGTCCCCCCAGCCCGGCTTGGGGTGTGCACCCCCTTGAGCGGGGGGCAGGGGGCCCACATGCGGCCTCGGTGGTCCCTGCTGGGCCTGGCAGCCTGCGGGGCCTCTTCCAGATCCTTCAGCTGGGACGATCCCCTGGAGAAGGGAATGGCTCCCCACTCCAGTATTCTGACCTGGAGAATTCCATGGACTGTAAAGTCCATGGGGTCGCAGAGTCGAGTGAGCGATTTCCACTTTGAGCTGGGACATCGGGATCCTCTGCCGGGTCCCCTCTGTAACGGGGTGGAAGTGGGGTGGTGTTCCTCCAGGGTGGGGTGGGGTGGGCTTTGATTTCTGGGGTGATCCTGCCACAGACACCTCTTCCCCAGTGGAGGCAGTGCTTCTCCTGAGGCGGGGCCTCCGGGGTGGGGTCAGGGTGGGCCGGGCGCAGCTTTGCCCCGGCCATTGGAGCTCCAACCTCCAGCCTGGAGCTTGTGGGGAGGGTGATACAGGAGCCCATTGGGAAGGGCGGGTGTCCGCCCCCACAAAGGGGGGTGCGGGTTCCCCGGGGGCAGGGAGGTCTCCCTGGTACCCTGACACGATGCCTCCAGGGCGCCCGCGGGGGCCCAGAGTGGCAGGGGATGGCTGGTAGACTGGGCCCAGGATCCTCAGGGTCGGTGTCCTTGGCCGAGTCCCTGGGTGCCAGTGGCCGAGCGTCTGCCTCACTGGTGCGTCTCAGACGTCCCCCAGCCTATGCCAGGCGGGCAGGCGGGCGCGCCCCTCCCCTGGGCACCATGCCCACGGCTGGCTGTCCCTGCCCGCGTGTGTCTTCCGTGGGCTGGGGCCTCAGCAGCCCTGGGTGCGCCTCAGACCCCGGAGGGGCCGGGCTCTGACCGAGCCCCTTCCTCACCACCCCCCCCATCTTGTCGGTCCCCTCTGTGTGGGCCCCAGTGCGGAGGGTCCACTGTGCTGCGTCTGGGGTGCCCTCCCCAGAGCGGGGCTCAGTCCAGACAGCCCCTCCCCCCGGGGCACTCTCTGCCGCCCCCCACTGCGCCATCTGCCTCCCAAGAGGAGCTTCAGGGTCTGCTCTTGCCCATGGAGGGCGGCTCGCGGCCCCACGGGTCCCCAGGGTGTGACCCTCTGAGCCACCCCCTTGCGAGGCTGCAGTGCATGTGGCCCCCAGGGCACGCAGATGCAGGCTGGCACGTCCCTTTTGCTCCCCCACACCCTCCCTGCCCGGAGCCTCGCTCTCCAGGCCTCGGCGAGCCGGGTGTGCTGTGCTGGCGGTGTGCTCATGGGCCAGAGCTGCGCTTCTGCACATGCCTGGGCGGGAGTGCCAGGCACGGGCGTGTGTAGTGTTTCTGAGCAGCCGGAGGAAAGGTGGGCACAGCTGGGGGTCTGCGCCCAGCGGACAATGTCGGTGCCGGGCGCGGGGCAGTGGGTCCCCCAGGGCCTCTGGCGACCCTTCCTTCTTATTAAGCCGGAGCCCCCGGGCACGTCTCCCGACTTTCCTTTTGGCCAGGGGACTGTGAGTGCCGGTTTCCGTGACTGCTCACCAGCTCTTGGACGGTAGCTGCTCTCCAGGGCACGGAAGTCCGAGTGTGACCCCGTGTCCTGGAGGGTGTCCCTCTGGCCAGGCCCCTGACTGTGCCCACGGCTGGGTCCTGTCGCTGCCGCCCCCTCGAGTGAGCCTTCTCTCCCGTGAGCCCCGCCTTCACCCCCCCAACACCCCCCCCTCCGGCAGCTCCGGCTGGCTTCCGGGCGCCCCCTCTGGCAGCGGCGTCTCTCGTGCAGCGACCTGCAGTGTTTCAGTGGGGGCATGGCAGGCAGCGTCCCAGCGGGGCCCCGGGAGTGTTGTTGAGTCGCAGGCTGTGTTTATGGTGAGGCCTACATGGCTGCTGACCACAGGACCCCTTCCGTGTGTCTGTGGCTTGGGCCTGGCCCCCGGGAGTCTGCTGGTGCCTGCCTGGAGTCCGGAGCTGCTGGTGGCTCTGTCCCCCAACCCCCGCGGGTGTACACACACACACACACGCGCGCACACACACACAGCCGTCTCCTACCCCTTGGCCGGTCTGCTGGTGGCTCTGTCCCCCCACCCCCCGCGGTTGTGCACACACACATGCACACACACACACACACCCGTCTCCCACCCCTTTGCCGGTCAGTAGTGTGCATCCTCCGGGTGGCCCGTAGCTGGACCCAGGGCTGAGGCCTACGTGACCCCTGGGGGGAGCAGCGGGCGGTCCTCTGGTGGCAGGACGGTCACCTCGCAGACATGGCAGTGGGCTGGGGGTGGCTCTGGGCGTGGACAGCTGAGCTCAGCCGGGTTAGGTGTGCGGCAGTGCCCCGAGGTGGCGGGAGGGTCACCAGTGCCCCGAGTCGGGGTGAGGGGTGTAAAGACTTGGCGTCTCTCCTGGTACCTCGGGACACAGCTACCCCCCAACCCCACCCACCTCCCAGGCTCTCGGCGCAGACCATCAGGCCTGCCCTTCGTGCAGTGGGAGGCTTGGGCTCTCTGCCGCAGGGGCAGGGGAATGGCCAGGAGGAGATAATGGGGGTCAGGGAGGAGGGCAGGGATTCCCCAGTGACTGTAACTGGTGGAGGCTGGGCTCCGTGAGCCCCTGCACCCCCGGCCCCGTGGCCTGGCCCGCGGGCTGTTCCCAGAGACTCTGGGACCAGGGAGGAGCCCTGCTTGGGAACCCGCTTGCTGCAGGGGTGAGGAGCTGGCCGCCTGCTGGTGGAGATGGGCCTGGACCTCAGGCCCTGCTGACTGTCCACGGCCACGGGCCAGCAGCTCTTTCTGGCCTGACCTGGCTCCTGGGCCTGGAGGTGGTCCCCATCCCCCAGAGAGGCGTCCTCCTGGGGGCAGGCAGGCGGGCACCTGGGGGTGTGACCAGGTGCGTTAGGCCCAGCTCCGTGGCCTGCCTGTGCCCCTCCGGGCGTGCGGGCGCCCTGTGTCTGGAGCAGGCGTGGTGGGTGTGGCGGGCCGTCCCTGGTGCCACTCAGACGTGAGCAAGCGGAGTGGCGGTTGGGGGCGGTGGCGCTGGATCGGGCCACACTGTCAGAGCCCCATGGTTTCCCTTCGTCCCGTGCTGACCCAGCTGTGCTCTCCCCTCAGCAGGCAGAGGGCGGCGTGCACAGCCCGCGTGGTCTCCTCCAGCCGGGTCCGAGCCGTGCCCGCTCCGCCTGTACAACAGCCTGACCCGGAGGAAGGTAGGGGCCGCGGGGGCGGGGCGGCTCTGGAGGGCCCCTTGGCTAGTGGGTGGGCGGCCCCCGCAGGGCCGCGTTCCGGAGCACGTGCACACCCGTGTAGGCACACCTCGATGGCCTGCCTGTCGGCTTCCTGGCTCTGGGTGTGCGCAGGGCTTGCTCAGCAGGATCAGAGGTTCCAGGGGTTTTGCACGGGGCTGACGGCATTCAGGGGTTTTGCACGGGGCTGACGGGATTCAGAGGTTTTGCACGGGGCTGACGGGATTCAGAGGTTTTGCACGGGGCTGACGGGATTCAGAGGTTTTGTGCAGGGCTGACAGGATTCAGAGGTTTTGCACGGGGCTGACGGGATTCAGAGGTTTTGTGCAGGGCTGACGGGATTCAGAGGTTTTGCACGGAGCTGACGGGATTCAGAGGTTTTGCACGGGGCTGACGGGATTCAGAGGTTTTGCACGGGGCTGACGGGATTCAGAGGTTTTGTGCAGGGCTGATGGGATTCAGAGGTTTTGCACGGGGCTGACGGGATTCAGAGGTTTTGCACGGGGCTGACGGGATTCAGAGGTTTTGTGCAGGGCTGACAGGTTTCCATGGGCCAGCATCCTGAGCAGACGGGCGGCAGGGTCCCCCTCGTGGACTGGTTGGGAAGAGCCGGCCCTGAACTGACCTGAGACCTTGGGCGGTCGGCAGGAGGCCTCACGCCCTAGGCCGGCTCCTCCAGGAGTGTGGGCCCCCGGGCAGCTGGGAAAGGAAAGCTCTATTCCCACGTTGTTCCTGGGAGCAAGTGCTGGGCAGTCAGCTCGCTCAGCTCTGGCCTGGCTCACAGCAGGTGCCTGATGAATGGTGACTGTTCTTGTTAAAGCAGCAGAATCGGGGCACCCGTCTCCTTGACCCGCGGCCTGTGTCCATGAGCGGAGCCCCAGGGAGGAGGGGGCCCACTCCCCGGGCCCCTGGGTCGGGGGCTCACCGTTGTGGGTCCAGCGTGGCTCCCCAGCCGCAGCCTGGACCGCGGCTTTCTGCAAGCTGTGTGGTCGCTGTGAATGTGCGCGAGCCGCTCATGGCCACCAGCAGTGGTCCTGCTCCCCTCGTGACGGTCATTCCCTTGTTTCCAACCAAGGACGTGTTTGTGCCGCAAGACGGGAGGAGGGTGACGTGGTACTGCTGCGGGCCCACCGTCTACGACGCCTCGCACATGGGGCATGCCAGGTAGGAGCGCAGCGGGACCCGAGCGGAGGCGCCGCGCCCAGCTTCTTTCTCTCATCTTTAAGATGAAAGCTTCTTACTCTGAATATTCACTGCAGAAAAACTAGAGAGTCCAGACAACCAAGCAGAAGTAGTCCTCGCAGCCCCCACGTGCCCCTCTGGACTCTGACCAGAGGTCTCCTTCCTGTGCCTGAGAGTCCTCCCCACCCGCTGCCCCGGGGCCGACCCAGGCTGGGGCCGTGGGGCGAGGTGGCCCCTCTCCCGAGATGCGCTGTGGTGCCGGGTGGAAGGGCGGGCCCCTCTCCCGAGGCGCCGCGGTGCCCCTGGAAAGGCCGGTCTCCCGTCGCTGCAGGTCCTACATCTCCTTCGATATCCTGAGGAGAGTGTTGAGGGATTACTTCAAGTTTGACGTCTTCTACTGCATGAACATCACGGACATTGATGACAAGGTAAAGGCAGTTCTCAGGATTAAATTGTAAATACAGTGGACGGCCGAGGGAAGAAACGACCTTGGATGAGTTAATAAAGCCACGTTGGCTTGAGCCAGCTCAGCTCAGCGCACGCTGTGTGAACCGCCACCCCCCCCCCCCCACGGGACTTGCGTTGCGGTTTATGTGGACGGTGCTTTGTGTTCAGCTGCTTTGATGCTGTTGAAAATCTGGGTAAATGTGAGCGACCCCTGGGGCAGGTGTGGGGGAGGGTGGGCTCGGGCTGACCCCCGCTCAGGAGGCCGAGGACGAGCTGCGTTCTCGGATGCCGCCCCGGCTCACGGTCGCCCTCTGCGCGGGCACCAGGCACCGCCCAGCTGACCCCGCTTCCCTCCTCTGCTCCCAGATCATCAAGAGGGCCCGGCAGAACTACCTGTTCGAGCGGTACCGGGGGACACAGCCCCAGGCAGCGCAGCTGCTGGAGGACGTGCGAGCTGCCCTGCAGGTGGGTCCCTGCCGCTCTGGGCCCCCGTGTCCCCCCGGCCACCCCGTGCCCAGCACAGGGCCGGGCCTCAGCGGGCCCCGTGACATGCAGGTCACGAGGTCTCCATCGCGGAGCTCCCCCAGGCTGTGGGGAGAACCACCAGCAGAGACACCTGAGGGCGGGGCAGGGGGTGACCACTCCTGCCACCTGTGGGACGCTCCGCGCCGGTCACCATGGTCTGCGCTGACCTGGGAGCCTTCCACATGGAGTCACGACCGAATCAAAGGCGTGTGACCCAAGAGGCCGAAGCTGCCAGGCTTCTTAAGTGGATGGTCATGGAGGTTTTCAGTTATCTGAATAAATTAGTTCTCTCCAGTCTAACATTTTGATTTGAAAGAACTGTATTACAGATTATGGCTATTATATTTTGAGGTCAGATAAGGCAAGTTCTCTTTCTTAATCACCATCTTTAGTAATTACAGTAATGACTGCCGTTGTGCTTACGATGTATTATCTCCGCCAGAAAAATGAGCTTAGCAGTCATCCTCTAGGCTGATCAGTGGGGCCTCTGTGATGGAGGCGTCGTGGGGGACACGTGTGTGTCCCGGGCGCTGCCTTAGGGCAGCTGCCTTAGTCCAAGGTTACGTCAGAGGGACGGGCCCTGCGACCTTTGCACCACCTGCCTCTTGGGGACACGCGGGGTGACGCCCTCGGGACCCGGACCCTCGGAGGCCGTGGGCGGGGAGCAGGATCGGCCTCTTCCGTGTGGAGCCGGCAGGGAGCGCGGGGCTCTGCTGAGCGGGGCTAACGGTGTGGTCTCCCCTCACTCACAGCCGTTCTCCGCGAAGCTGCAGGAGACCACGGACCCGGACAAGAGGCAGATGCTGGAACGCCTGCAGTGCGCGGTGGCGCAGGCCGCGGAGCCGCTGGAGGGCACGCTGCGGGCCGGCCTGGCCGGGCAGGAGCTGGACGGCCGCGTGCAGGTGAGGCTGAGGTGCGTCCACTGGCCTCGCCCCTCCAGTCAAGGCGGCGCCCTCGGGAGGTGCGGAGGGCCGGCTCTCAGGGTTATTCCGGCCTCCTCGGGGTCTCTGTCCACTGCTTGTAGCAGCACCGCCTGGGGAAGCCGAGTGGAGATGCCGCGGGTCCCCCTTGGGCATGAGCGCGGTCTGCTGGGCGTGAGCGCAGCGCCGGCCTCTGGCCGCAGCCGCACACCCCATCTCCCCGCGCGGTCCCTGCCTCCTTACACCCCGTCTCCCCCCCCCCCCCCCCCGCGGTCCCTGCCTCCTTACACCCCCCCCCCCCGCGGTCCCTGCCTCCTTACACCCCGTCTCCCCCCCCCCCCCCGCGGTCCCTGCCTCCTTACACCCCCCCCCCCGCGGTCCCTGCCTCCTTACACCCCGTCTCCCCCCCCACCCCCCGCGGTCCCTGCCTCCTTACACCCCGTCTCCCCCCCCCCCGCGGTCCCTGCCTCCTTACACCCCCCCCCCCCCCGCGGTCCCTGCCTCCTTACACCCCGTCTCCCCCCGCGGTCCCTGCCTCCTTACACCCCGTCTCCCCCCCCCCCCGCGGTCCCTGCCTCCTTACACCCCGTCTCCCCCCCCCCGCGGTCCCTGCCCCTTACACCCCGTCTCCCCCCCCCCGCGGTCCCTGCCTCCTTACACCCCGTCTCCCCCCCGCGGTCCCTGCCTCCTTACACCCCGTCTCCCCCCGCGGTCCCTGCCTCCTTACACCCCGTCTCCCCCCCCCCGCGGTCCCTGCCTCCTTACACCCCGTCTCCCCCCCCCCCCCGCGGTCCCTGCCTCCTTACACCCCGTCTCCCCCCGCGGTCCCTGCCTCCTTACACCCCGTCTCCCCCCCCCCGCGGTCCCTGCCTCCTTACACCCCGTCTCCCCCCCCCCCGCGGTCCCTGCCTCCTTACACCCCGTCTCCCCCCCCCCCCGCGGTCCCTGCCTCCTTACACCCCGTCTCCCCCCCCCCCGCGGTCCCTGCCTCCTTACACCCCGTCTCCCCCCCCCCCCCCGCGGTCCCTGCCTCCTTACACCCCGTCTCCCCCCCCCCGCGCGGTCCCTGCCTCCTTACACCCCGTCTCCCCCCCGCGGTCCCTGCCTCCTTACACCCCGTCTCCCCCCGCGGTCCCTGCCTCTTTACACCCCGTCTCCCCCCGCGGTCCCTGCCTCCTTACACCCCGTCTCCCCCCCCCCCCCGCGGTCCCTGCCTCCTTACACCCCGTCTCCCCCCCCCCCCCGCGGTCCCTGCCTCCTTACACCCCGTCTCCCCCCCCCCCGCGGTCCCTGCCTCCTTACACCCCGTCTCCCCCCCCCCCGCGGTCCCTGCCTCCTTACACCCCGTCTCCCCCCCGCGGTCCCTGCCTCCTTACACCCCGTCTCCCCCCGCGGTCCCTGCCTCCTTACACCCCGTCTCCCCCCCCCCCCCGCGGTCCCTGCCTCCTTACACCCCGTCTCCCCCCCCCCCCGCGGTCCCTGCCTCCTTACACCCCGTCTCCCCCCCCCCCGCGGTCCCTGCCTCCTTACACCCCGTCTCCCCCCCCCCCGCGGTCCCTGCCTCCTTACACCCCGTCTCCCCCCCGCGGTCCCTGCCTCCTTACACCCCGTCTCCCCCCGCGGTCCCTGCCTCTTTACACCCCGTCTCCCCCCCCCCCCGCGGTCCCTGCCTCCTTACACCCCGTCTCCCCCCCGCGGTCCCTGCCTCCTTACACCCCGTCTCCCCCCGCGGTCCCTGCCTCTTTACACCCCGTCTCCCCCCGCGGTCCCTGCCTCCTTACACCCCGTCTCCCCCCCCCCCCGCGGTCCCTGCCTCCTTACACCCCGTCTCCCCCCCCCCGCGGTCCCTGCCTCCTTACACCCCGTCTCCCCCCCCCCCGCGGTCCCTGCCTCCTTACACCCCGTCTCCCCCCGCGGTCCCTGCCTTTTTACACCCCGTCTCCCCCCGCGGTCCCTGCCTCCTTACACCCCGTCTCCCCCCCCCCCCCGCGGTCCCTGCCTCCTTACACCCCGTCTCCCCCCCCCCCCCCGCGGTCCCTGCCTCCTTACACCCCGTCTCCCCCCCCCCCGCGGTCCCTGCCTCCTTACACCCCGTCTCCCCCCCGCGGTCCCTGCCTCCTTACACCCCGTCTCCCCCCGCGGTCCCTGCCTCTTTACACCCCGTCTCCCCCCGCGGTCCCTGCCTCCTTACACCCCGTCTCCCCCCCCCCGCGGTCCCTGCCTCCTTACACCCCGTCTCCCCCCCCCCCGCGGTCCCTGCCTCCTTACACCCCGTCTCCCCCCCGCGGTCCCTGCCTCCTTACACCCCGTCTCCCCCCGCGGTCCCTGCCTCTTTACACCCCGTCTCCCCCCGCGGTCCCTGCCTCCTTACACCCCGTCTCCCCCCCCCCCCCCGCGGTCCCTGCCTCCTTACACCCCGTCTCCCCCCGCGGTCCCTGCCTCCTTACACCCCGTCTCCCCCCCCCCCCGCAGTCCCTGCCTCCTTACACCCCGTCTCCCCCCCCCCGCGGTCCCTGCCTCCTTACACCCCGTCTCCCCCCGCGGTCCCTGCCTCCTTACACCCCGTCTCCCCCCCCCCCCCCGCGGTCCCTGCCTCCTTACACCCCGTCTCCCCCCTTGGTCCCCGCCTCCTTACACCCCGTCCCCCCCCCCCCCTTGGTCCCTGCGTCCTTACACCCCGTCTCCCCGCTCGGTCCCTGCCTCTTTACACCCCGTCTCCCCGCGCGGTCCTCGCCTCCTTACACCCCGTCTCCCCCCGCGGTCCCCGCCTCCTTACACCCCGTCTCCCCCCGCGGTCCCCGCCTCCTTACACCCCGTCTCCCCCCACGGTCCCCGCCTCCTCTGGCCTGAGCGCCCCCAGGTTCCCCTGGCCCTTATCCTCGACACCGGCGCCCTCTGTTGGCCCCTCACGGAACGTGCAGAAAGGCCCAGGCCCAGGAAGGTGCCGCCAGGTCCGCCGGCGTGCAGCCGTGTCGGGATGCACGCCTGCAGGGCCCCTGCCCCTGGGTGTGCGTGTTCCGAGCTTGGTGAGGCGTCGGGGGCACAGGGTTGTGGGGACGAGGCTTTCCCGCGCTTGCTTCTGAGACCACACACGGGGTCGGGGATGCCTCAGGCCAGCCGGAAGCTGGTTACGTTTCTGTTGTTTCCAACAGTGATGTTGGAAATTTTCTTCAGCGATTCCAGTAACATCGTTTTTATTAAAATTGTACAGTATGCATAACATGCAGTTTACCACCTTAACTGTTTTTAAGCAAATTCATGTCGTTTCGTAAACACCATCCGCTGCTCATCTCCAGAAGTGTTTTCCGTTTTCCTGAACTGACACGCTGTCTCCGGGAAACCCCCCAGGCCCTGGCCCCACCGTCCTGCTTTCCACCCCCATGGATCCGGCTGCTCTCGGGGCCTCACAGGTGTGAGATCATTTGGGATTCCTCCTTTAGTGGCTGGATTATTTCACGTAGCAAACTGTCTTCAAGGTTCATCCAGGTCGTAGCATATGTCAGAAGGTCCTTTCTTCTTGAGACCGAGTACTATTCCATCTCGTGGGCTGGACCACGTTTTGTGTACCCCATCATTGATGAACGTTGTTTCGCCTTTGTTGTGACTTGCTGCTGCGAACACGGTGTGCAGATCCCTGCTCTTTGTTCTTTTGTGTGTATCCACGAAAGCGGCTCATACAGAAACTCAGCCCAGTGTTCTGAGGAGCCGCTGTGTCAGTTTGCAGTAATGAGTGTTACTTCCTGACTTGGCAGGGCATTTGGTTCCTGCCAAGAGGTCCTTGAAGTTTGGTTCCCCATGGCTCAGCTGGTGAAGCACCCACCTGCAATGGGGAAGTCCTGGGTTCGATCCCTGGGTCGGGAACATCCCCTGGCGAAGGGAAAGGCTGCCCACACCAGTATTCTGGCCTGGAGCATTCCTCCATGGGGCCACAGAGAGTCGGACACGACTGAGCGACTTTCACTTTGACTTTCCAAACGTCCATGGCCATGCTTGGTCCGTGCCGAATGGTTCTAGGCACAGCCACACTGCAGAGCCTTCTGGTATGGACCGGATGCCCTACGTGTGCTGTGCCCTCCTCGCGTGTTCCCGGGGTCCTGCTGGTTTGCCTGTACGGCAGCCCGTGTCAGATGTAAACTGTCAGGTGGTAACCGTGGTGTGAAATTGCATTTCTCTAGCCTCTCGTGGGACTGAGTATCCTTTCGTGTGTTGACTTCCAGGTTGTCCTTCTGCACAGGCATCTCCCACGCCATTTTCCCCTGGGCGGTTTGTCTTCTTACTGGTTTGTAAGCATCGTTATGTTTCCTGGACGCTAGTTGTTTGTCATTTCAATGTGTTGCAAACACTTTCTCCTAATTTGTGGCTTATCTTTTAATAACACAGAGTCTTAGTTTTAATGCAATCAACGTTATCAAGCTTCTTCTTTTATCCTTAGCATTTTTGTCTTAAGAAATTCTTATTATCCTGAAACATGACTATATTCTCCAGTATTTTCTTCTAAAGATTTTAAAGTTGTACAGTTCACGTTTAAGTCTTTGATCCCCCAGAATTTGTTTGGCTTTTGAGGGTTTTTTTTCTGTGTGTATTTAGCTGTACCAGGTCTTAGTTGCGGCATATGAGCTTTTTTTAAACTGTTTATTTTATACTGGGGTGTAGCCGATTAACAATGTTGTAATAGTTTCAGGTGGACCACAGAGGGACTCAGCATACATATACACGCATCCACTTTCCCCCCAACCCCCCTCCCTTCCAGGCTGCCACATAGCATTGAGCAGAGTTCCCTGTGTCCGTTTTAAATACAGCAGTGTGTACACGTCAATCCCAAACTCCCTAGCTATCTCTTCCCTGCATTCCTTCCCCCTGGTGACCATAAGTTCATTCTCTGTTAGTCTGTTTCTGTTTTGTGAATAAGTTCATTTGTATCGTCTCTTTCTGGGTTCCAGTGTAAGTGAGATTTCTGTTTCTCTGACTTCCTTCCCTCACTT